TAACTGCTGAAGTTGGGGGCAAGAAGGTGAATGTCCTGTTGGACACGGGAGCCAGCCACAACTTTGTTTCGCAGTCCCTCGTACAAGAGCTCCATACGCGAGTGGGGAATACAACCTTCTCACATGTGAGCTTAGCCGACGGAAGTACTACACCTATCCTCGGCCAGACCTTGCTAAGGCTGAAGCTTGGTCCAATGCGGGTTCAGGTTCCTGCGCTGATACTGCCCAACCTGACGGCAACGGCAGACGTGATCGTTGGCGCGTAAACCATGGAACGGTATAAGGTGAATCTGGACTTTGAGAAAAGTCAAGTCCGTTTTCGCAAAAGGAACCTCAGTTACCGTGTCAAGTTTAGTCGGATAGCTAAGCAGCGGCAGGATACGCCAGGGAAGGTGTCCGCGGCGGTACCTACGGAGCGTGAAGTTCACCACGTAATCGCTGCGTTCATGAATCGAGCAAGCGTCAAAACGGCTACTCGCAAGGAAGCGAAAAGCCTTATGCGCAAGGGGGCGCATTCTTTGCTCGTCCGACCACTAGTACGAGCTGAAGCCGTACTGAAACAGGCAGCGGCTCAAGCGCAAACAAAAGCGGGTGAAGCGCAGAGTCAGCCAACCGGCGGTGGCATGAAGCCGGTTACCGCTGCCGCAGTCAATGCCGGACAGACGAAAAACCCGGAGCCCGTTGCATTGCCTGAATCGCAGCGTGCCACCAGTGTTGGACAAACGCAAGACCCGGAGTCCCCACAGGCTGGAATACCGCGCACAATCAACGCTACTGAGCAAACGCTAGACCCGGAGTTCAGAGCACTGATTGCAAAATACGAAGTTATCTTTCAGGACCTGAAGGGGCCACCACCAGATAGACCCGTGGAACATACCATTCCGTTGCAACCAGGTGCAACACCGGTATCTCGCCCATTATATCGCTTAACTTCCGCTGAGCTGGAGGAGGTGAAACGTCAAGTAACTGACCTGATGCAAAAGGGGATGATTCGCCCTAGCGCATCTCCATGGGCAGCTCCGATCCTCTTCGTGGGAAAGAAGGACGGAACGTTACGCATGGTGGTGGATTATCGAGGGCTGAACGCACAAACGGTTAAAAACCGGTATCCGTTGCCGCGGATAGATGATTTGGTGGATAGTCTGGGAGGTAGTGTGATCTACTCCATTGACTTACAACAGGGATACCATCAAATTAAGATTCGAGCAGACGATGTACCGCTGACAGCGTTTCGTACTCCCCTGGGACACTATGAATATGTTGTCCTACCTTTTGGGCTGACTAATGCCCCTGCCACGTTCCAAGTGGTGATGAACCGAATCTTTCAGCCCTACCTCGGCAAGTTTGTCGTGGTTTACCTGGATGATATCCTGGTGTATTCCCGAAGTCGTGAAGAGCATCTAAAACACCTTGAAACCGTGTTCGAAGTGCTACGACGGGAACGGTTTCATGCAAAGTCGTCCAAATGCCATTGTGCGCAAACTCAGCTTGCCAAGTACCTCGGTCACATTGTTAGTGCCGAAGGAGTTCGCATGGACCCTAAGAAGGTGAAGGCTGTCCGTGAATGGCCACTGCCACAGAACGTGTCCGAGTTACGGCAGTTCTTGGGCCTTACGAACTATTTCCGGAAGTACGTTAAAGCGTATGCTTCGCTTTCGGCTCCTCTCACGGATATGTTACGTGGAAACGGTCAAGTCCGGCCTGAGGATTGGACACCAGTACGGGTACTCGCCTTTGAAATGGTGAAAAATGCGGTAGCAGACGATGTACTGCTACGGTACCCAAACATGACTAAGCCTTTTACGTTCGAATTGATCTCGGACGCGTCCTTACGCGGTACCCTACTGCAGGACGGAAAACCCATCGCCTTCACCAGTAAAAAGTTCACTCCTGCGGAGCGGAACTATACCACGGGTGAGCAGGAACTACTTGGTGTAATACACGCACTTCAAGAGTGGCGCTGCTACCTGGAAGGTCCACATCATGTGAGAGTCGTGACCGATCATCACCCCCTGATCTACCTAAAGACGCAACCGACGCTGAATCGTCGTCAAGCTCGATGGCTTGAGTTCCTTTCCCGTTTTCACCTTGATTGGGAACACCGATGCGGTAAAACCAACGTTGCAGACGCACTGAGCCGACATCCGCTGCTGAATGCAGTGACGCGCATGCAAACGCGGCAAACCCTGAGGGCTCGCATCCTGACCGGATACGAGAAGGACCCGTGGTTCCAAAACCCTGAGAACCTTGCGAACCTGGAAAGAACGCAAGAGGGCTTTTGGCTCAAAACTCTTCCTGATGGCAAGAAACGTGTTGCGGTGCCCAATCACGGCGATCTCCGCAAGGAATTCATAAACCGTTGCCATGGTGACCCCCTTGGCCTGACACCCGGGAGTTCACCGCACGTTGGAACTTGTACAACGTACTCATTGGTGGCCCAATTGTGCCGCGGATGTGCGACAAGTTGTCCTTACCTGCGACAAGTGCCAACGTAACAAAAGCCGTACAGGCAAGAAGCCTGGCTTGTTACAACCCTTACCAATCCCCGAAATGCCGTGGGACAGTGTCTCCATGGATTTCGTAACCGGCTTGCCCCGTACGGCTCGCCAGTTCAACGCGATCTTGGTCTTCGTCGACCGTTTGACGAAAATGGCGCACTTTGTCCCAGTACGGAAAAGTATCACCGCCGAAAAGACCGCTAAACTCTTCCTTCAAAACGTGATCCGGTTGCACGGCGTGCCGAAACAAACGGTCTCGGACCGTGGATCTCAATTTGCCGATCACTTCTGGCAAAACCTGGCACGGATGATTGAAATCGATCCTAATCTCTCCACAGCTTTCCACCCTGAGACGGATGGACAAACGGAACGGATGAACCGAGTCCTGGGAGACATGCTTCGCAGTTATTGCGCTACAGAACCACGATCGTGGGATGAAGCATTGCCCTTGGCTGAATTTGCCGTGAACAACGCTTTAAACCGAGCGACGAACCAAACACCGTTCTTCCTTAATTACGGGTGGCACCCGGCAACACCGGTGGTGAGGGAAACAGCCTGTAACGTACCGGCCGCCGCAGGTATGGCTGAAACCCTGGAAAAACGACTGAAGGAAGCAAAGAGATGCCTGATGGCAGCCCAAGATCGAACCGCGGCGTACTACAATGCAGATAAGAAATCGGCAACGTACCAGCCCGGTGACTCAGTACTCTTAAGTACGAAAAACTTACGAATGGGCCCGAAGGTACCCCGTAAGTTACAACCTCGATGGGTTGGTCCCTTTCCAGTGGAAAAGATGATTGGTAAAGCTGCGGTGAAGCTAACTCTCACGCCCAATCTGAAGATACACAATGTGTTTCACGTGAGCCTCGTGAAACCGTACAAGGCTGATGGCCCGTTTCGTCCCATACCACCCGAAACATTGCCTGTTTGGCAGGATACCTCTGAAGATGGTTATCTGCCGGTTGAGAGGGTGCTCGATTACCGACGACGCAAAGTCGGAAAACGGACGTACGTGGAGGAATACCTCGTACGGTGGCAAGGATATACCGACGAGCACAACAGCTGGGAACCAGCGGATCATTTCACTCCCGATATGACAGCAGAGCTGGAGTCAGTACGACAACGGACTTGCGCGGACGTCAAGCCCTAAAGGGGGAGGCAATGTTGTGGTACCGCGTACGAACGCGAGTAACCACGTCCAAGAAGGACTCGGCCAAGACGGCTGTCAGAAACTAACCGATCGTGAACGATGAAGGGACTTCGGCCTGTCCGAGTTTGACAGACCAACGGTTGATAAACGGTCCGCTTGACAGCAATACAGGGCTGAGCCCTATTTAAGGCGGCTTGAAGCCGACCTGAACCACGACCTCTCAACTCTGGATTTCACTACAATCTTCACCTACACTTAGCTACCCGTCTACTTCATCGGCGCCAGTCAACGTCGCCTCTACCACGCTGGATCCGCCAAGGGTGTGGATAAACGTATCTTGCTGAAACGCTCCGGCGTAAAAAACATCACAGCAATATGTGGAATACTAAATCCAACGAGTGAGCAGAACAAACATCGAAATGGCAAGCAACATACAACGTACAAGCAAACATCACAAAATCCCCACGCAGCAAGTTAATATGGCCAGCAGTAAGCGACGCCGTCCAGCCACTACTTCCGTATATTATAATTTTAGGCACTGTCTGTAAAATTCTTTATCGTCTATAGGTCGCACCCTAGCCTAGCTAGGCCTGCTGATATAATAAGCGATAGGGACTTTCCCTATCTGCTTCACCAGCGCTAGGAGGGGGGCACTACCCATAGATAGAAATAATAAAAAAAATTACAGACAACCAGCTCACACCGCAATACCCATATGGATGTACGGATATACATATGTATATGCCATGAGGCCTTCGAGGTTCTTCAAGCTGTACATGATGCCACAATCAGCAATCAGCAATCGCCCAAAGCATCCACCCACCCATTCATCACTGCGGTGCTAAACACAGTACATACATACATACATAGTTATATAATATGGAGCTGCCGCCCATTAAGGAACCTACATACGCTCGCTCGCTCGCTCTGTCCCCTTCACGCATGTATCCCGCTGCCTGCCGCTACCGACCGCCAGCCAGTAATTTTTTACCGACCGCCAGCTCATCCTGCTTGTTAAAATTGTTAGTAATTTGGCTTTGGGCAACAACTAGTTTCAAGGTGCACGGAAGCATGCACGCTCTGTCGTACCGGCAGATATCGTCCTGGCATATGCGGCCCGCCGTTGAAGTTAGGCCAGTAGGTGCCGTACAATTGGCCCCGTGCGCATTTTACGGCGGTAGGCAGGACATCACATTGTGCCATTTGCACAAGAAGAAGAGCGATGTGGGCGCCGCATAACGTGATGAGTTCCATCAACAGGAAACCGATAGCGGGGCAGCAGAAGAGGCAAGATACGTAGATCAATTAAGTAGCTGCTATAGGTGAAACTTTTTCGTCATGTCAGGGTACGGTGGCCGAGTGGTCTAAGGCGTAGGATTAAGGCTCCTATCCGCAAGGGCGCAGGTTCAAATCCTGCCCGTATCACTATTGTCTTTTCTAAACGTCAATGCTTATATATACTACGGTCTGCCCTGGCTATACCACAGCAGTTAGTAGCTGACAGGCCTGAATCCGTATCCCTGGGCTGATTGTACGCCTGTACAAGTCTTTCCGTACCTCCGGCGAAAAGGGCCCTGCGTCGCACATGGACGCGTACTCCACACACGCCTGCAGGCATGTAACGGGCCCGCATGGGCCCGTTAGGGGTCCAAGGGCCAGGGAGCCGAAGGTTTTACGAAGTAGACAGATTTCATGAACTATTACCTTATCACACAGAAGATCATGCCGGACTAACCTAACTACCTAACCTAACTAACTGTTATGCCCTAGCAGTGCGCATACCTGCTATTCGCGGCCCTCCTTATCCAGATTCTGTGGATGTGGTTCCCCAACTTCACCTGGTCATCCGCCACCAGCAGTCCACCACCACATCCTTCACAGGGTCTGTGATCCGCATGAAAGCCTAAAACCCTAGGACAACACGCGAGCGATGGTGCGTGGTTTTTCTTTAATTAATCTGAGCCGCGATGCAGCACGAGAACCGCCCCTCCCGCTTTCCCACTACCCTACCTCCGGTCGCATCCCTGGAGCGATTGCGTGGTGTGTGGGGGCAGGGGATGGGGATGAGGGTGGGACAGGAGATGGAAGGTATATGACCACCGGCATCACGACCTCAATGCAAAGCGTGGGATGGGTGATGGTTGCAGCCCGACTTCGGACTTGGTGTGACTTGACTGTATAAGGGGTTACCGCGCACATGTATACATACATACATACGTGCGGACAAGTTCATGTTGCTGCAGTAGTAGTAGTTCATGTTGCTGCAGTAGTAGTAGTTCATGTTGCTGCAGTAGTAGTAGTTCATGTTGCTGCAGTAGTAGTAGTTCATGTTGCTGCAGTAGTAGTAGTAATGTTGACGTGTATGTCACTCCCGTGCATCTGCGTGCGGATGTACGGCATACACACACATACCTGCGGCGGCTGCGTCCTGCATGTCCTGCAGGTATTGCCGTACATGGGCTACCTCCACGCGGTCCAATCTGTAGTACGACCAACCGGCCGTGCGTGCAAAGGGGCAAAAGAGAAAAACAGTTGTGTACAAGTGTTGCAGGAAGTGAAACATCACGTTTCTATACGGCATATCATCACCATGCCGTACCCTTTTTTATACGGCATTACATTGCAGCACCTCCGCGCGCAGATGCTCCTTTGGAATCCGGCTCTGGCACACACTGGCCCCACACGACACAAAAAGTCAAGGATGCATCAAATCCGGCAGGTTGCAGTACAGCGTGGTGCCGGAGGGGGGAGCCAAGGCGCGCACAGATGCCGCTGACACCGGCAGAGGGCTTCCACCACCTTCCAACGAGCGCTGGTCTCTAGGGTCCCCTAGCCACACCTATTAGCCACACCAGCTGCACCGCATAGAGCCCGTCAGCAGCACCACCGCCTGCTGCTCCCCCTCCTGCCCCCACTTAGGTGTCCCTCTAGTCAGTTCAGTGAGAGAGGAACACGCGTAGTGAGGTACCCGGCGGGCGGGTACCGGTGTGAGGTGGCCGATGTGTCCCGTCCTCGGACCCTCTTCCGAGGGGCTGCTGCCCGCGTGCCACCCCCCCAGCCCCAGCCGCCTCCGCGCGCACCTCCGGCCCACCCGGTAGCCCACACGGCTGCCCACAAAGCCGGTCGCCACCTTGGCTGCCGCCGCTGCTGACCCCGAGGGGGGAGGTGCGGGGCGGCGCGGAGGGTGCGAAAGGGGGGGGGAAGACGAACCACAAACGAGTGACGCAGAAGTGCGAGGGGGGGAGGCGGGTGAGCTCATAGACCAAGAGGCACACACTGAGTTGGCGCGTTTTCGTTCATGTGCGCACTCTTCATGCACATGCATAGATAGTTCTGGCACTGTTTGTGAACAAAAAGTAATTCCGACCAAGCAAAGGCCCAAAGCAAGCAACCGCATAGCAAATCAAAGGCCGTCACCCGCCACTGCAAACCACAGCACACTGGGACTCTACCGGTTCATCATGTACCGGCCCCTGCTGCTGCTGTCCAGCCACTTCCTCAGTGCGTCACGGAACGGGAACGTGCCCAGGTCGAACAGGTCCTGGGTGAACATCCGCACACACAATGCTAGGTGCTCTTCTTCATCAACGTGCAGGGGACGCAGCACACTTGGTCGTGCACTTCTCCGGCGTCCACGTCAGCATGCACAGGCTGGGCCCAGGGATACCTGGCGGCCCAGGCAATCTGCCATCTGTAGGGATTTTCTTTCTGCTTGTCCCGCCATGCACCGTCGCTCTGGCCCTTGCGGATGCGCTGTATCTGAGCCCGCTTGGCACTGCGAGCGCTCGGGTTGGGGGCCTCGCCGCATTCGTTGTTGTTGAGCTGATTGGGTGACAGCTTGCGCTTATGCTGATCACAACCGCCATGGAAGGCAGGGGTAATGGCGCCCGTGTCATCGGTCGCCGCTGGCAGCAACACCATTGCCGATGAATTACCGACAACAGCACCGCCGTCCCAAACACCTTTATTAGGAAAATTTTCAGGCTTATCTTGCTGTTTTGGTGTTTGTTCGGCGTTTAAGTCGTTGCCTTTTGCCTGTAAGGACCGGTCATACATTCTGCTATGCCGCGTTGACTCACGGGCTTGACCTTCTTACGGCCCCTCATATCTATTCTATGATCGATAATACTAAGTTCTGCACACTACGGAGCAATCTGGCAGCAATGGACGTTTTTGGCTGGAGGAATGAAAATGTACGGATCGGCCTCAATTCATTCCCTTTTTCCAAATCGACGGCGCTGTCAAAGCGGTTCATGAGCCTCCGGGTTCGTTTGGGCCGTACGAGCTCGCTGAAGCTTGTAACATCCATCCATCCATCCATCCATCCATCCATCCATTCCAAAGGCCAAAATGGCCTCTTTATTCCTTATAAGGAATATATTACTTAAAAAACAACACTGCCGCCAGCCGGGCCAATGTTGAGTTGCTTTAGTCGCCAGCTGGCCCCGAATCCATGCCCCATTCATTTCACAGAGCCCTCTTACATCGATGATATCCCTGCCCCTTCCCTCCCCTCCCCATCCCCCATATGATGTGTGAAACAGGGGGGTGTATCTTCGCCCGTGGCAGCTACCCTGCGTAACCCTGCCTTCCCCGGTATTTCGGGGCACCCTCATCCAGTCACCCTAGTCAACTTCTCAGTGGATCGCTCAGGTTCCGCACCCACCACCAGCATCCAACGGAATCTGCCGGGTCGACAGCGGCCCAACTCCATTCTTGGTCAGCTCGCAGGTTAACTTTATCCCAGGTCACCACCATTCATCAACTAGGGGCGCAATGCCTTTCACCCTCGGTAGGGCTTTTGATCCTAATGGGTATCGATCCCGGTATCTCCCGGGGCCAATGGTCGCACCTTACCAGTAGTGCCAAACCCATATGTATGCGTCAGTACTGTCAATACTAGTAAATCCCTATCTAGTATACCAGGGTGTCGCCGATAACATAGGTGATCAAAATTGTACTGACACAGCTCCCGGTCCTTCCTACTCCGCCTATATACTAAATTCACTCCGTCAGCTGCTCCAGCAAGCGGTTCCATCCGTCACCGTATGTGCGACTCTGTCCATCCGCTGCAATGACCGTACGTATACGTCATGTGCTAACGATCACACACATCCATGCCAGCCAGATGGAAGCACAAATCCCCTAACAGTTCATCAGGCCGCATTCGTTTGCGTGTGCGCATGCGTGAAGCCCAGCAAGCAGCCGAGCCACCTGCTCTGGCCCATCCACGAAACCGCTTTGTTGCGCATAATATCAAGGGCGACACGTCATCGCTCAAACTTCGTCCTCAATGCTACACTAGGTGCTGCCCGCGCGGTAATGACGTCCGTACAGCTGCATGCAAAGATGTACCCTCGTCCCGACAGACCAGCTGCATGCACAACATGTATCTGCGCCACAACAGCAAATTGTATCATCCGCCATGGCTTGTGTATGTGCATAGCCATTCCTCCGACTTGCATGCACGCAGCAGCAGCAGCAGCAGCATCAGATAAATGATGAGGTAGAAGCACTACTGCCAGCAGGCAGGGACTGTCTGCGGCTGCCTGCTACACGCACGCTGCACGCACGCTGTACGGCAGAGTTCATTAAGAGGCCACAGCTTCAGGAAATCAGCTCAGGTCTGGGGGAGCCCCTCTCAACCGCTCCATGCGATTGCGTGTGTAGAGTTGTGTCACCTTCCCGAGGTGTAAAGGTGTAACCGATCCAGATGCCTAAGAAGAGCTAGACGGCGGGGACCCAAGGGCCCAAGGGCCGAAGGCCATCCTCCGAAATTAGACAGATATCATAAAATACAAAAAATGCTATCTATTCTATTATTCCTTACTAAAATTATGACGAACTACCCGAACTATCCAGACTGCAATTCTTGTATATGGTCAGCTCTGGCTGCGCTGGAATTTGTACATGACCGAGCAACAAGTTGTACACTCCTTTATATGTATGTATGCAATTATATGTGATGTATTGTGATTAATGAGCCTCGCGTATTGGGGATGAATTTCCTCGTATAACACGTTGCCTACGGATGTATGTATGTATGTATGTTATGTAGGCCCGCGTCCAAGCATGAACATCCCTCACAACTAACTGGCAAGCATTTAAAGGACGCAACAAATGACGAGGGCATTATACCTTGGTTCATCGATTTATGGTAGATACGGCAGCGCACGTACGGCATGCCGCCATGAAAGATCACCAAGCCAGGTCCATAAATCACAAGCACACGTACTTACGCGAAGCAATCTCGTATCTTGATATCATGTTACGATGCGCCGAATGTGCGCGCCCGTCAGAAGAAAAACCTCAACAGGAAACAGGACAACGACATTATGACCTGCTGCTGCCGGCGTAGCTCCGGCGCTTGCTATGCCATATGGTGTTGATGGCGGATTGTGCGTGCATGGATTATTGTCAACAGTAACTCGCGATCGACTCGTACACGCACACACACACACACAGCAACTACAATCCAAGTAAGAAGTAAGTACGACATCTCCACCTTGTTGCCGTTCAAGATAGACACTGCTGCGCTGTTGTAAAGTCGTTGTTGATGAACGGTGCACTGTCATGTGACGGCGTAGTCACGTACTGTATGTTGTGGACTCTACCTTGCCGCTGATAGATGATTCGTTGCGTGGGTTGTAAGCAGCTGGTGGGCAGCAGTCAAGTCGCCGATGCGATGGGAGAATAGCAAGTTAGATCTCTAACATCTCTAATTGTACGGTCAATATTGTCTGGGTCGTCTCCAAAATCGATTTTGGGAAGACTCTATTATATCTGGAACACTTTAGAAACGACTAGGTGCATGTGAAACTCGAGGGTAGGCGAAGGTAGGCACAGGCTGGCGGTGTATGTGGCCGTAAGGGTCCGAGACGGACCCCTTCAACGGGGGAGGAATGTAGCAGCTGGTACTTAGAACAGCACACAAAGCGTCTGCAAGTACGTTCTAAGCGCTCCATCAGCATCTTGAGAGGATTTTACAGCTGCCAGCACAACAATAACACACATATCCAACAAAATACTTGTTTCTAAGTCACATGACCGTCCCAAACAAGCCTCAACTAATACCTATATATATGTGCGTGTCATCACCCACATGCATGAATGCATCTAAGTACATGCCGACATGTAAACACGCGGCCGCATGCACTAGTGACGCACCATACCTACCTTGAACACGGGAGGCGTCTTCAACGTTTGAATTACAAGACCTTCACTTCACTTCCCCAGCAGCAGCAGCAGGTCCTTCGCTTACTTGTTTGGGAGGCGGAATTACCACTGGGATATACTGCAGCGGCGCGTGAAGCATGCAGCAGCAGCGGGGATTAATCAAATACGCTGCACGCGGCTAAACAGACGAACTGATGGATAGCTAGTTGAAGAAGTAAAGCATGCCGCACGCACCGATCGCTCGACACCCGCGTATAATAGATAGGGACCGTCAATATCTCTATGCGGGTGTGGCCTGCGGGCGACCGAACAGTTTACAGACGAAGCTTAAGGTCGTGTCCTTGTATAATAGATAGGGACGGTCCCTATCCTTAACGTACCAGGGCAAGATTTATAAACCAAAAATAGGTTTTCAGACGGGTAGGTTGTGATGCATCTCTGGCCAACAGCAACACAGTAGTGGCGATGGAGTTTGTGATACAAAGGATTTGTAAAGTCAACATCGGATGTACATGTGGAATGTGTACATGCATGTACATGCACACATACTCATACAGCTCATGCAAACGTTAGAAGAAATAACGATCCACTAATAACCAACCAACTAACCTCGAGGACTTCTGCAGCCTTAACGCTGCTGCTAGGCTCATCTTCATTACTAGTAATCTCTTGCCAGGCAGCTCCAGCACGAGGACTGGAACCGTCTTCAGGAAGCAACCTTGAGGGCTGCCGATGGAGCTGGCCTGCAGGTGGGACCTTACAGGACAGCAAAGGAGCCCACTGCCCAGATGGCGAACCATCGAGCTGTCTCCAGGTGTCTGTGGAGATCCTCGAGCCATTTTTGTTGTGCAGCAGCTGAGCATCCGCCATACCCGGCAGTGAAGCGGCTTCAGGTGCCAAGATGTCTGCGGGCTGCTGCCGCCAAGAGTACGACAGCTGCTTTGGCGGGAGGCTCACAAATGCCAAGTCCGCTATTGAACTTCCTTCGGACAGCACTAGCTTAGTGTATGTACCGGTGTTCGGACCAGTTGTGCGGCCGTCCAGCGGCCCATATGACGGTTGTCCATCCATTTGTCGCATGTTTGCGGTGGCCCTTGAGCTGTCGGGATCCGCCAGCGGTTGGGCGGTCGATGTTGTTGAGTCCTTCTGCATGTATAAAGCCGACGTGCTATGAGTGCAAGTATCATCGGTGGCGCGGGTGTACGTAGAGAGTGGCCACCCATCCGGGTTTACCTCGGGTGCTCCCAAACAATGCATTTGGGAGCATGATGCTCTTGTGTACACTGTTTCGTGACTATCCATGTTGAATGCACCCGCCTTTATTTGCATCTTATTAAGGCTAGAAGCATGGAGCCTCGATCATTTTTATTTGGTTTACCTCCCCGGACGAATGCTTACATATAAAGAGGACACCCCATAGCTAGGGACTATGCTCCTAGTTTATGTAGCTGTATTACACTACCAAACATGGTACTGCAAATGTGCATTTGTTAGACTTCTTGTGGTCACCAATGCGCTCGGTCTATGTACACCTGCTCGTCCCCCTCGTTGCCTCTAGGCTGTGTGCCTTATCCTTAGGTTTAGGTTTCAAAGCAAGGCATGTGTTGGTGAGGCAATGGTGACAATGGTGCGCTCACAAGTGATTGGTGGACATGTATGTTTGCATGTGTAGACAGGCGAGACAGGCTGCAGATGAAAGTGTATAGAGAGGCATGTGTGCTCACATAGACGGCTGCGGATGAGACATGTCTGTACAGTTGTCTGTACAGCTGTGCATGCACACGAAGGCTGGTGAAGGGTTCAGTCGAGTCACATTTGTAAACATGGGTTACCCTGCCTGATACCCATCAGTAGTGTATTACCCCTACCCCTTTGCTACCCCTAAGGTAAGGGGTTACCCCTACCCCGGGGTTAGGTTACCCTCCTCCCTTCGTACAAACACCACTTACCCCTACCCCTACCCCTGGGCTACGCTTAAGGGGGGGTTACCCCCCGTTTTATGCAATAGGGACACGCATGCAAGGCATGCATGGGCAGATGTAAACTATACTTGCATACACGTGCATGGTTGACTCACGGGGCTTACCTACGTGCCTAACAGTTATGTACATGTCGATCACGTGAAACGTTAACGTTGCTGTCGTGCGTTGCACGTGGCATACATTTACCTAATATGCAAACAGTCTGCTGGCAGCAACTGCAGATGCTAACACAATCACTACCGTTATCGGCATGCTGAAGCTTATGCAATCATGCACCTGCATGATGCTAGCGATGATATCATAAAAAACAGAGATCACACCTGCTGCTGCTTGTGGCGGCGGTGCTTGCGGCGGTAATCACGATACAGTGCATTGAATACAAGCACTACCAAAAACGCCACGGCTATAACCACAACGACTCCGATGGCAGCAGCACGGATACGCCGAGCACTGATTTTCTTCTGAGGGCTGCTGCTTTCGCTGCCCGGTGCTGCCGATACAGATCCGCTCGGGGTCGCACCTTCTGCCAGTGGAGCTGGCAAGGCGGCGCGGTACTGAATTCAGGGAAGCATGCGACGGGCACGAGGTTGCGTGTTAGGTGAGCTGGGCCAGCCAGCACTGGACAACGTCGGTACAATTTTTTTATCATCAATGACAGGCCTAGGGTCAGACTCATTGTAAATAAGGTTCCAAGAACGAGGCCGGCCAGGGTTGGAATTTCTTCCGATTTGGTGGAAGGTGAGAGTGCCCCGAGTCGATGGACGGTAGTGACCTGGGTTATAGTGGGCTATAGTGGGTTATACATATACATACTAGTAGTAGTAGTAGTGGTGCTGGTGGTGGTGGTGGTGGTGGTGGTGGTGTACGCCTCAGCCTAGACTACTAAGGCGTGTTGTAAGGGAACAGGGGTGGGACATGTTTTGGGTCTCCCCACCCTGAATGGCCTCTGCGCCACCATTTTGGTGTTTGACACGCTCTCCCTCGTCTCCCAGGTTCCCCACGTGGTTCTGTCGTACAGTCATCCCTTTTTCCTTTGGGTGGCATGCTATGCTATTACTAATTCGTTCAGGTCGTCGACGGTGTGGTCGTGCCATATATATATGGTAATACCATAATACCGTACCATACATGTATGGTACATGTATGTACATACATCAGCAGCTTCTCAGCTGGGAAGACGTGACAAGATGTAACAACAATTGATCACTGTCGCAACAATGATGCGCACTATGTGCGTGATTACAACATGGACAGAAGAGAGCCCTACCTGGAAGACTTCACGGGTGATCGATGTGCTTGCAACTAATGAAGGGTGCTATCGTTATACCACGACTTCAGGAAAGAACCGATCGGCGGATGCAGATCCCGTGATAAGCCCAGACTACTACAATTTCGCCCCCCCTTCAGCAGTAGAGGGCGTCCTCGACCTTAAATATCCTCAGGTGGCATCATGTTTAGGATAACCAGCGGTCGCCGGGTCCATCACCCCCCGCTCCGCAGGAAATGCCCCAACTGAGATTCAAACTGAGGTCGGAACTGAGAACTCTGCTCGATACCAATTGTTGTACCAAATCCTCAGAAAAGTACCAATCGGGCGGAGGCATGCTACATATGTTGACCGACATTTAGCGGTAGCAGCCAAGCCAGTCTGCAGCTTGATTGACAGATGGCCGTAAGCACCTTGCTCATCTTCAACGTTATTATTCATGTGGTTCATAATGTGCATATACGCGTGTATGTGTAGCGCTAGATAGTGTCTTGTAAGGGTGGCGGCTAGCAGGAGTTGATAACTGATAACCGACCAATGAAGCCCAGCTGCACCGACGACCCGTCACCCGGAAAACCGTGCGGTGTGCCTTGCACAATGCATGCATCGTCTTGTTAGGGAATGAATGAAAAATGAAATGTAAGGCCTGAACTGCACAAACCTTAGTTCCGGAAGTCGCCCATGCACCATTTACGGGTCCCAGCGGACAGATGCCATCGAGGGCAACCAAAGCATCATACACGTTGCTCCTGAGCGCTTGCATCTCCCGAGAAGGGTCCACCTGACCATCAGGGATTACGTTTCCACATGCACAGCGTGAAAAACAGGTTCAGCAGAGCTGGGCGAAATACTTACACATGCATGCATGCATGCATGTATTGCACCTGCGTGCATACATGCTGCATACACCTACCCACCCACGCACAAGGAGCATGCACCAATACAAAATTGCTGTGCCAACGAAGACAAAAGAATTGCCGTGGAGCTAACCTGTTGAGAATGCGCACAAATGCACAGAACCTCGGAACGTGTGAATAATTTTGGATACATGAACATAATGTGTTCTGTGGGCGTGCGTATCTACCCATGCTTAAAGAATCCATGCATCCAACCAGCTGCAGCGACTGCAACAAGCGGCACCCGCCCATCTGCTATACCGATGGGCGATTAGAAACACAGCAAGAAGCTGAAAAGCGACTGACGAAAAACGGAAAATGCATGAGAGGAAGTATGCATGCGTGTGCTACTTGCAACCCAGAATGTAATTGGGTAGTAAGCGAGCAACATGAGAGTGGACAATGAAGCAGGTTCGTCAATTCGCATGGAGCACCTGCAAGTCCCATGGGTCGACCATTGGAAGGTGCATTAGTAAGAGGTGCGTGCAGCAGTTTACCTGGAGGTTGCCATGCACGCATTCGGGTTGTCACTGGATGGCAGATATATGCCATCCACATTACATACAATGCAGATAGAAGCTCTCGCTAATTTGTGTAGGCATATGTGTGTCGCAGGGTTGGGGCTGCGTGGCCCCATACCTGTAAAAACTACCCATACGAGCCGAAGGCCCAAGGGCAGTATTAATACCTAATTAGGTGTTATAAACGCCTAAAAGCCACGGAGAAAAGAAACACCGCACTATCAGCCATGTATGCATGCGGCAGAGGGAAGTGTAACAAGCAACCAGCAAGCGCCATGCATAGCAGACGAGCAAATACATGTTATTGGAACGAGGCTTCGCAAGCATGCGCGGTTTCCTGCTGGCTTGCTTCCAATCCAGGGTGGGTGGGGGGTGCATACTGCCGGGATTTGCTGGCTGATGCTGCATGGGAATTTCCATGGTTCACGACAAACCTTTAAAGTGATCTCATACACCGCTCCTTTAGTAGTACATTCCTATCACCACAGACAGCCGTAGGCCCACGACAGAACCAAGGAAATATAGGAGGGAAAAAAGAAAAAAGGGCACCAGGACGGGCAGCATTTTGCACTTGTTACAGCAAGCAAGGAGTAATAATGAAGCAGGCAAGCATGCTCCAACTCCACTTGTCTGCGGATGATGACCTCCTGAATATGTGAAGACAAACTGGATTTTCTTACATACACACATCGCTCGTGTAATAACAATCACCGACCCGCCCACATTACACCTACACTCACCGGATTGGGTGCCAGGCGTACACTGCAACTTATGCTCGTATTTTCCTTCGGTACTTGACTCTTCTGTGCCACATCAAATGCCAGGTTAGTCTGTGTTGCTGCTGGAGTGCAAGATGAGCCGACCTGCGCGCATGCGGGCAGGGCTTTTCACCAGGGTACCCAAAAATTCCGCGGAGTCAGCCGGAGAGTGTTTTCGGGTACACCGAAACTGCGGTTTTCGGGGTAAAATTTAGCTGGATTCTTATCGTTATATGCTAGGACGGCTTAACTAACAGGTGTTTGACTTTATCGTGGAACATAGCGCCTGGGAGAAATAATTCAGCAAGGATTTTACCCAAAACCAAGGAGGCGCCGCTCCTCATCCACCTCTGCAGCAATCGCCTCCACCACACCTCCCACATCATCATCCGTCTCCTCAGACGGGTACACCTCATCACTTGCCACACTCTCGACCTCCTCGTTATCAGAAGGATAATAGGCCTCAGCAATTTCACTGCCTACATTGCCCTCATCATCACTCTCATCAGGCAGAACACAGTCGCCCACCTTGGCAATACGGTGCAGGAGCCCATCCGGGTTCTTTGCAACATACTCCTCAGCAGCTTAAAATCACAAGGGGTTTGCATTTCATATCCACGGTTGGACCGAGTAATCCAACACGCAGAAGGGAATCAGTGGACGGGACAGACAGCCGGTTACGCTCAACACACGCTGTTTGAGTGGGCAGGACACAAGCGACATACACC